ACGCGGCTGTTGCACAATCCATTCTGTGCTCCACATATCTGTCCATGTTGTCAGCCGCTTGTGTATCAAGTCTGAGGAGGAGGAAGAAATATGAGGTGTGTTAACAACAGCCAGGTACTTCCCATTCACAGTTTTAGCATGCGAGAGGAAGTGATGTTCGATGAATAGAGCTGATCATACGTTTTCTGATGCAACGCTTATTCTTTTGAAAATGTTGATTGGATTTTGTATTGCTGGGTTGGCTGGTTCTCCAGCTTCATGGAAACCTGCTTGGAAAGTTGTCATGCTTTCGTAAATCTTCTGGACCCACCTGGCCTGTTCCACTGCCTGCCCACCATTGTGTGATGCCATGATGCTGCTGGCTTCTCCCAGTTACCAGGAGCTATCCCCTAGGCTGGTCAGCAATTGAGTGAGCTGCCCATTTGAAGTCCTTCAATTATTGACCAATTCCAGCTTGCCAGATCCTGTAGCTTCAAAGATCTTAGCCCACCCAGGTGACTGCCTGGCCACCCACATAGCAGTGGAACAGCAATGTAGGCAGAGTCCTGGCATGGGAACTGAGGCATCAGCCCAGAAATGTTTCAAAATGTATTATTTCTATATAAGGGAGTGAAACCTTTTGGGGAAGGGTGAGGGGAGGTGTGCCAACATGGTTTCCTCTGAGAGATGAACATTCCAGTTCCCGGCACTGGTACAGGCAAGTCACGGGACATTTTGGCTTTTTGCGGTTCACAACTTGCTTGCCAGTACTTGGCTGACAAATGCAGTCAGTATGTGTGTGAGTACACAGAAAGGAAGACCAGCAATTAGTGGGTTTGAATCATACAAGGTGAGGGTCTCTGCTGCTTTGCAACATATCTATTGCATTGGGAGAGATTGTAGGATACAAGCTGCTCTTGTTGCAAAGGCAGCACCATTACTGGTTTGTGCTCCGTTGCATTGGTAGGCTGTGGGTGAGGCTTGGTTCCTGGAGGTATTTATGGGAGAGGTCACCATCTGAAATCTAGCCTTCTATCATATCTCTACCCCTGGAAGCTAGAATCATCGAGTCAGTTTATCTCTTCCAATGTGGGCCCTCCCTGGCTAAGGCAAGGAGACCTAATTTTGGACCTTTGGCACATAGTTCTGGATCATTTGGGAAAGGAGGCAGTTTAGGTAGCTTATGTTAATTTTCTGCTCTGAACAGTCTCAGTAAGTCATGATCTACACAAAAGATTACTGGCATGTTGGCTGTATCATGTCTCACCTGCCACATAAACCATGAATGTTGGAGGCCTAATGTTAAAAACACCCTAATTCTCTGAGGCTATAAATTTCTATTGACTTTGGTAGGAGCTTAGAAGTATTCTGGGTTCTCAGCTTTCAAAAAGCAATGTACAAAACTCTCAGGAGCTTCAGAAGTCCCACAGTATTACATGAATTAAGAAATTAAAAAAGAGCTGGGTCTGTGAAAATTAGTTTTCCACTAGAATGACAGTATTTAAAGTTGCAATCAAGTGTTAAGTTTTATGTGCTGCTGAAACAGAAAAATTAAAGCAGACGTAATATGCATGCATAAAGACATTCAGAGATAGTATCGGGCTCCATGAATGACTCTGCCTTGGCACAGGGTAGAGTAGCTTTCCTAACATGAACTGAGAAGCTCGGCATGTTTCAAGTGCCAGACTCTATCTACACAGTGATCTGCCTTCTGTGCTGGGCTAAGGGGAGCAGGTGACAGAAAGCAGCTTTCATAAAGCTGAGAGTAATAATCTCAGCAAAGTGAATCCCCATTTGCAATATTAGGAAAACTTTCTGACTTCTTTTTGTGACAAGAATGGCACAAGTGGACTGGAAGAACAGCCACACGTCTAATTTTTGTCTTTGAAATATTTTCTCTAGGGATAACTATCAATGCAGAAGGAGCTTCTGTATTAAATCCCCATGGCTCTGTATAGTCCAGAAGTCCTCATGAAGTAAGTAGCCTTTTGCTCTTAGAAGTTGCAGTCCACCAGAAGTGAGTCAAGGGGATCTTTATTGCTGTGAATAAGCTTGCAAGGCTCATAAACTCTAATAGCTCTAATATTTTCAGTCAAACTCTGGTTATTCTGTTTTAAATTGCTCCCACAGTGTGGTTGATGTATAGAAATTTAGTAATAAATAAATAAGATACAATGATGAACATAAGTAAATGACGGGGAAAATTCACTTTGCAGTTTTAACAACCTTGCAGTAACCTCGGAAGAACCACCCAAAGCGGTAGTGAAAGGCCCATGACTTTCTGAGACTGGGGGCAATAAATTGTAATGATCTACTTGCAGGGGCATGCACTGAATTGTCTAATGTCTTTTCCACCTCTGATACTAATTTTCATGTGAATTTTGATGCTTTAGGCAGATCTCGTGGACTTTGTTATTTGCCCATGATCAGATTCCCACTACTGAACTTAAGGTGAGTTTTTATGTTCCAGTTAAGCTGAGGTAATGCCTGCATGCCACTAAGAAAGGGCAGTAACTCCTCAGGAAAAAAAAAAAAAAAAAAAAAGACATAATTTTCTATTGCTTCATCTCCTTAAATGACCTTAGCATTTGGCCAGAAGGGTACCAGAGCTTACACTGGGATAGGGGCAGAACTCTGTAAGCTCCAGACTGGGATGGGAGACAGACCTGCTCTTTTAGTGCTAACTAGCTCTTAAGCAAGTTTTATTGCAAAACAAAACCTCATTCTCCGATATTTCTATGGCTTGAACATTTTCCAGTGTTTACCAAGGATTCTGTGCCAGTACCGACTTCTTTGTGAACAGTATGCTTGCTACAAAGGGCTTTGCAGTTGTTTCCAAAGTTAGTGGTGATACACTTTAATCTATTCAGATCACCCTGAATTGGCTGTTACTGTTTCTTTGCCCTGTCTCTAAACTCAGATGAGGGTGTTTTTCCTACATTTGCATGTCACTAAAGTCATCTGGACTAGTTAACCTAGGACATAGTTTGGCTGCTGCCAGCTGTATTTAAAAGGTCTAGCCATTACCTGTACTAACCTACAGAATGACAGACTGAGGATACCTGCTTTTGTCCTTAGTCTTGTTAATTTTGGAGGGCTATTGGAGGGTAATTAGTGCCAGGATTGAACTGAACCTTTGATGACTTGCATGTTATTTTAAATTAGTCCTTGTATATCTTCTAGCCCTTTCTGAGCCAACATCTAAGGGCGGCACTTGGGTATAGGTAGAACCTTGAAAAAATTCACGTACAGGACTTAATAAGGATTTGACACAGCAGCAGGGTTAGAAAGGAAGTAGTGCTATGTGTGTCATAAGATCATAGTAATCTTTGGTTTTTAATTACTCTTGGCCAGTATAATAACATTAAGTAGCAAACATTTCCTTAGTGTCTTGTCTTGTCCCAAAGAACTTGCAGTCATATAGGTTGAAAGCCAGTAGGAGAAAATAAGTGTTATTCCCCTGATTCTGAAAAAGTGACTATTCAAAAAATAGAAGGGGCTGGTAGCAACTAGAAAAGAAACCCTTCTCTTGATGATTTGAAACTAAATACCATAAACATAAGTCAGTTCTTCCTGTCAGCTAAGTGGTGAAGTGTAATGCTTACCTAACTCTTCTGCGGTCTTTACTCAAGCAATTTCATACTGACATCAGTGTCAGACTATTTGAATGAGATCTGAAGATAAAGGTCTCAGAAACTGGCTTGAGTGGAATTGCATTGAAATATCTTACTCAATTATTTCAATTAGATGCTCTGTAATAATTTGGTTTAAAACAAAAGAACAATTTCTAAACTTAAACACAGTGGATTTCAACGTGTGGTTTTATATTGACGTATCTTGGAAAGATAGCATTCCAGTCCTCAGATACCCCAGATAAATAATAATCAATTTCCTCCCATCTTGAAGCTACAAAGATCGCCATCTCACCATATGTACACCCACACCTGCAAAATATCTAAGGAAATTATTAGTTCTCTTACCATGGTCAAGATAAAGAGCCAGAGATACTGGTTTTACTGTATGATAGCTTTATTTAAAATTGCAGTGGTTCAGGAGATGGGTAAGAGGATATAGCACCTTTTACTTTTCTGAAACAGGTTTAGATCTTGATGGCCAGAAAGACTGTTCATTTATTAATGCTGCTATCACCTGACTGCTGTTCAGAAAGACAAGCTGGTATTTTGTTCTAATTAGCATTAGGTGTGATGAAAATGGATGGTTGGAAAGCATTCAAAGATCTGAAATAACTTCAGATTAGGTGTGTTGTTTTGCTCAAACAGAATTGTGGGAGGAAGGAACAGTGGAACTTAGCTTGTATTTCAAAATTAAACTTTCCTGTCTTGTCTTGAATTATCTCAATTATCTTGTCTTGAATTATCTCAAAGTCTGGCATTTCTGAAGCTTTGCTTTAGCTTCTAGTTTCACATGTCAATGTTGAGTTGAAAAACAGAGATATATTTTAATAAGAGGACTTTTTGTGCAAATTATTTCTTATAGTGGTTAATTAACCACTATATGAAAGAAATAGTTTGGGGATGAGCTTGAGAAAAAAAATGTATTTTTCCCCAATTTCTGACATTTTGAATTTATTTTGTTAATTTGACTATAAACAATTATTTCTTCAGATTATTATAATTTTCCTAACCCAGCCACTGAGCTGAACAAGGCAGGAGCTGATTTATGAGGCAAGGAGAAAGTGGCTGTCATCTCACACTGCCACTGTCTGGTACAACAAGAAGTCTCCACAAAGCTATGTTCTTCCACCTCCATCTCCTTGGTGGTGTGACAGCAGCTAGCCCTAGGAAGATCCATCACTTAGCTCTACTTAACAGCTTTAATGAGGTGAAAAAAGAAATGTTCTCAAGCATAACCATAAGAGATATATTTTTGTAGGAGAGAGTCTCAGTAATTGCCATCCTTGCTTGAGATGCCGTTATGATCAACACTGAAGGACTATGGAGGCGGTGCTCTGCTGAAGGTATTTTTTGTACACCAAAGCTGAGATGTTCTCATGAGAAATTTTGCTCTGCTGTTGCCATTGCTGGGATAAATAATGAAAAATATTCAGTGAAGCTTCAGTACCTTTTGTAAGCTCTGTCCCAATTAGCTTTTAAGTTTACACCAGCAGTAGGATAATCCAAATCAGAGCCATTTTGAGTTGCTATCATTCTACACCTTGGTTTCTGACAGTCTAGCTGTGACTGTGAGTAGCTTCTTACAAGGGGCTCAGTGAGCAGCCCACTGGAAAAGTTGCATGAAGCTGAACATTATATTTATTAGCTTTTATTTCTTGCATGCTGGGAGCAGCATGGGTCTGCATTCCTTCCATTCTAATTCTGTTTCATATGGTCTCTTGTATGCGTGATCCGAGTGCCAACAGGTTGTATATGAAGCATTTTCACTTCTGCTGCCTACTATTTGTGCTGTGCCCACTTTGCTTTGGATATAACCTTTTAGATTTGTTCTTCCTTCTTTATGCAGTTGACTTTCTTTGTCTTGCTTTCCCCATCCTGTACATTTTTTGTGTCTGTAGTAAGGCCTGACATCACATAGCCCATCTCCCCCATGTCCAGGAGGAAATGGACGTGGTACTTGTCAGTGTGCTTGTTGACAAGCAACACAAAATGTTTTATGCATTTTGGCCTTGCTGATTTACTGGAAACATTAACTTCTTGGAGGGGCTATTGGAAAAATTAGTTCCATAGCTCTCCAAAATAACTTTTGCACCTTGATTTGAAGACATTTAGGAGCTTTTTTTTTTTTTTTCTTCTTTCCTGTTCCATTAAGGCCTGGGTCTCCCTGCTGCAGCTGTTCTGTTTTTAATGTGTTGCTCCGTTTCCAGGCAGACATACCCCTTTTTGAGTAGAGTTCACTTTTCTCTGGCTGTTTTTCCATTTGCCTTCTCTCTAGGAGGTAAATTTGTCAGCCTACTATTTTGGTCTCTCAATTCAATTACAGCAGCAGAAACTGTGATCAAAGCTGGAGCAGCACTATGGAGGAGGAAAACCAAAACTCCTTTCTGGATAATAGATCTTTCTCTCTTTTCCTTCACTTTTTTTATAATCTTTGGAAAGGGATGCTACAGATTCTTGTGTCCGAAGAAGTATAGAGAATTTTGTTCGCACTGCAGTCATGACTGCTGCAGTACACATGCCCAGGTGAAGCTATCTAAAGTGTTACTGCAGGGGCACAAGACTTGCATGGTTAATTGATCTGAACCCCAAGTTGCTTTCTGATGAGTTTTGCTTATTTTCCTGGGAGCTTTGGAGCTGCCTGTTGATTTGCTGTACATGCACAACAGACCATTATTTCAGATATCTTTCTTTCTGGTATTTCAAAGATGTCAACCTAACCAAGTACTCAAGTTCCCACTCTGCTGCTTGGGTAATCAGTCCTGCATCCAGTCCTGAGGTCTAGCATAGTGGCTACATTGCCAGTCACAGCAGTCCTGAAAAGTCAGTTTGAGGTGTTGGTTATAACTTGCATAACTTCAGGAGCATCTGACTAGAACTGATTTTAAATTGGTGACTTTTTGTCATCTTTTTTTTTTTTAATTATTTATTTATTTATTCAGTGGAATGATTTAAAAAGTGGTTTGAACATGACTGACGTTACATATGTGAATTCCAGGTAATAAATAATGTCAAAGATTTCAGGTAAATCTATTTTTCCTAAACCTATTTTTCTTAAACAGTTATTTAGGTTACAGTTCATTTTTTTCTTATCGTGCCCCAAACCAAACTCATAGCTGCTATTTCATGAAAATTAACTCTTGACCCTCTCCCCTTCCATCATTATTAGGTGTCTACTGTTTGTTTAGTGAGGTCTGGTCCTATCTCTTCTTGTGACTGATTTTACTGTGTTCAGGTGAGCATGCATTTACTGCAAGCTTATGGTGTCCCCCAGGCGTTTTCCCAGCTTGGATCTGCAGGACATCCACCATGAAATTGCAGATGTGGATTATGGTACAGCCAGAGCTGATTGCTTGGAGCAGTGCCCTGACAGGCAGCCCAAGGGCTGTCTATCAGCAGTCCACAGGAGGAATGGGAGAGGTGGAGGAAGCTGTATCTGAGGCATCTCTTGAGGGTGCTTCAGGACCCACCACTGTCACCAGTAAGCTGATGGGGGAGTAGGATAAGAAGCTGAGAGATGTCAAGTTGGCACGTCCTTTTTATAAGAAGCTTGTAAAGGGGTAAAGGCCAGAAGATGTACACAGCTTTCCCTTTCCCTGCCAATATTTGTCTCAGTTTCACCAGCACCACTGTGCTGGCCAGGTAATCATCCACTAGGTACTTCAAAAAAGGAGGCTTGATTTACTAGTTTGCAGAACAATTCCCAATAATATATTAAAACAAGTCCCTGCTGTAGGAAGAGTTGAAAAGGGCCCTTCAGAAATGGATTGGTCTCCCAACATAAATTTTAATACATGAATTTTGGCTGTCTTCTCCCTTCATTTTTTTTTCATGGAATATTTTGTGGAACAATTTAAAAGATACAGAAAATTGAGCTACTGACTAGATGGAAGAAATGGGGGCAAAGGGAGACTTTCTGAACATGGCAGAATCTACCCATAAACCTTTCAGAACAGTATTGGGGCAATAACAAATCAGAAGAGGTAATAAAGTGACAAGCAAAGATGTGATTACTGCAGCTTTCCTCTCACCTCTGACATTGCAGATCTCCCCGTCAGACGTAGGCAGAATCTCTTCTCCACACAGAGGAGGCAGAGGGTGGAGCTCAGCGCCTGTATAAATTATATGTGTCCTTCAGGTTGTTTCAGCAGCAACAACAAGCTGAGAGCGTGTTTGTCAGCTGACAAATCTGTTATCCAAATTGGGTTTTCTGCTGCTGTTGCCATCTTACGTGCCATGGGGAGCCCACCAGCCAAGGTAAGAGAACTGCAGGTCCACTCTGCTGTGACCCGACACCTTGTTATTGGGAACTCTGGTTCCAGCGCTCGCGAGCAAACTCTCCTCCTTCTGTGTCTGTTGAGATGCAAAGGAAATCTGATTCTGGTGTGATGTAGCAGGGTTATCTTGAGCTTTGTAAATTTCCTATTTTCCTCTTTTACCTCTCCATAATTAATACATGATCTAGCTTAAGCAAAAACATGGTGAAAATGCGTTTCTTTTCTTCTGTCTTAAGGTGTACATGCTGGAATGAACACCAGGAAGGAAAAGGGCTGGCCTTGAGTTTACCTCACTGTAAAACGAAAGTGCTTTAGTCCTACTGCATGCTTTTCTCAGGATAGCACATGTTCATTGCTTGCCCAAGCTGAAAACAAAAACAAAAACAAAAACAAAAACCCACAAAAACCAAACACCTTTTTCTAGCAACAAAGCACAATTTATATTACTTTAGCTGCAGGGGAGAGTTCTAATGAGCTGATTTAGCTATCTTTCATGTTTACAGCGAGTGTGATTCTAGTGGAAGTATATCTTGTTTGGACTTGAGTTTTCCAATAGTAAGTTCCATTCAGAGATTTTAGCTGATAGTTTTCTGTATAAATGAACAGAATTACCGGCTGAGAGTTATGTTCCCGTGTATCTTTAAAAGGTAGTGGATGCCATGTCTGAAATGGAAAATGTGAATAATTTGCAAATGAAACATTCTTTGCGTATCAAACCCTATGTCAAATTTTAAAGCAAATAAAATGAATATGGGCATTCCTGGGGTTTAGATATAATGGAAAACAATGTTACGTGATATAGAGCATGGAGAGTCATTAATCGTTAAGAGGAGAATCATTAATCGTTAAGATTAAGGAATATTTGCTATAGGCAGTAATATTTGCAGGTGAAGTTAAAGATTCAGCTGTCAGTAGCTTAAATACTGAATGCTATGATTAAAATATTCAAACATTTGGTGCTCAGGGCAAAGAATATAAACTATAAATGTAAAGTACTCTCTGGATAAAATTTGTATTTACTCTGTCTACCCACCTGTTAGATCCAGAGATATATATCTGTCTTAGATATAAATATTATCTCTCAATTTTAAGTATCTATTCTGTATCTAATAAAATAACACTGGATCTGAAAGACAGGTAGATAGCGTAGATAAAATTTTACTTAGAAAGTCTCTATCACAGAGAAGTTTCTTGCATTTAATCCTAATGCTGCAACTGCTGTTCTCTGAGTTTAGACATAATCCTGCTTGATAGGCAACACTGCCAAAATATTAGAGTTCAAGCATAGCTTCAGGTCAGAAAGCTTCTATTCCCAAGGAAGAATATTCATTCAGTACTGTAGGTAGCTGTCAGGCAAATGCATTTTTCAGTATATTTAAATGGGTAAATAGAGACAGAAATCAGACCCTAGTGGTTTTGTGGGTTTATTTTTCTTTTAAATTAAAAATTCAAATTGTCTGGAAAGTGTGGATACTTCATGCTATCTAGGAAGGCCTAATAAATGTCTCCCAGTTAGGTTTTTACCATTTAAATATGCTACCAAGATGAACAATATTCATTTGGAACTTGCAGGGGATGTTTTTAACTTTCATAACAGGGTTTTTTCTTTTGCTCAGACAAGAATAAATGGTCTTTAGGAGTTTTATTTTATGAACTAGGAAATAATTTTTTTCTGTGGTAAGAGTCAGAAATTCTGCCAATACCACACCTTGAGCAACCCACTTATACATGTAAAGAGATGACCGAAAGAGTGTGAAGAGGGGACGCATACCAAATCTACAATGACTCTTCAAACACTTAATCAGTGATAACATTAAATTACAGTAGATGTTCATAAAGCAAATTAGATTTACTTATCAACGGTTCAACTTCCAATGATAAGATTTTGGATAATTGTGATTCCCAAGGAAAATGAGGCTTACGTGCTCATATTTGTTCCTTCTATCCCCTTTCCTAGTTTTGCATATTTCTTTGGTTAGTTGGTTGTCCCAACAAAATTTTGCATTCCTCTAATTTTAATGGAAATAGGCATCTGGGTAGAAGAGCAAACTACAAGCAGTATTTTCATTGATAGAGTGGCTAATAAACTCAGCCCACATTGGCTATTAAGGATCTATGTGGAAGAGAGTGTTTTGGAACCAGACGGGTCAATGAAGGTCATGAAGCTTTTTTTTTTTTTAAGCTTATAGCTTTAACCTTAATTTAATAGATTGTCTCCAAATTGTATTTGAACCAAATCATCGGTATCTAAATTAAAATAAATGATTAGTATATGCCGAATGATTATGTTTGTTGTGAGTTCTTCTACATAACACATTGTACTGCTTCTAGTATGCCACTGGGGAAAGAAAAAGTGATGCGTGAAAGCAGGTAATTAGTTATGCCTAAAAGATACTGATAAAGCTGGGCGATAACCCTAAAGCTATTTGCAGAATGCCAAAAGACAGGGAGCAAACTCCTCATAGAAAGCTCTTCATATAACCTGTTGTTACTCCATGGTGGTAGCTCTGCTCAGGGAACTACTTAGTTTTGGGGCAGGGGAAGTGCAACAGTGAGGTGCCAGTCAGACTTCCAACATGCGGTGATGTGAGGAGGTTCCCAGGTTGCCAGGCTCTGCAGAAACAACTCCTCCAGAAGAACAATTTCCTAGTGAAGGTAGCAATGAGGCCTTGTTCATGGAGCAGCATGGTGGGGCAATATGGAGTGGAATCAGAGATGTGGAGCTCTCAATACGTTTTGCTTCTTTCACTGCCATCCAAAGACAGTCTCAGCAGACTTCTTATTAATGAGCTTTGAGAAGCTCATATACTGTCAAAGTTGTCTTTTTGGCATGAAACCCTGAAGTGACTAACTACCTGTAAACAGGAGAGCAGGCTAATTATGTGTCCTCCTGAAGCTGACAGGCATATGACTATTCTCTGGAAGCCAGACAGCAGGCCAGCAAATATATATTATTACAATCATTGAGAGGTTGGCAACGGATGTGAATTTTCAGTTTGTCTAAGGTTTCATGCAACTGTAGCAACTCTTCCATGCTAATTTTACCTCCTGTTTATCACCTTTTCTCTATTTTAGACCTGAAATTGCTCCCCCAAAACTTGCTTTCAGAGTACAGAAGTGTAGTTTAATGCTAAATGCTATCAAATGGAAAGATTTTTTTTGTGCATGTGCATTTTTTAGCCTACTTTTTGTGAGTCTGGACATGTCACTATTTATTGGTCTGGAGTGTTACTGTCTAGGATGCAAACATACACAGATAGCTGACTCCTGCGCTCTATCGTAGCCTCAATGTGGCACTATAATTTTCCAGCAAGTAAGGATGGTTGTATTTCTAGGCAAAAATAGAATGATGTGCTTCTGGGTAGCTACATTTGACTCTGTTTCCAGAGGGGATTAGTTACTCTCTGTGTGTCTATACAGGAAAATGTGTTTCCGACAAGGAAGTGAACTGAAAGGAGCAAGATCAGTAGAGCTGCAAGACTGTCAAGAGCTGTCTGGATATGATGCTTGTGCTTATCAATTTGCATTAATCACTGTATTACTCATTGTGTCTCATTTTATGGAAATCACAAATGGTATCTCTAACCACACGGATTTTTCTTTACAAGGGTGTTCTGGAATGCCAGCACTTTTGGGCAAAGATGTTATTATAGACCACCCAAATCAGAACACAGTAGGCTGCTCTGGACCATTGCAGAAGAAAATGAGCTCAGCCTTTTTCTGAAGAAAAAGAGAATTAGCCCGAATCTGAATGGTTACTGCAGGCTGGAGTAACTGCTGCCTTGGGAGCAGGATGGCTTTGGGGTTCCCCAGGGAATTTTCACAGCCCATAGGGTTTGTCATGGCCACCTTAACCTGTTTCAACCTGTTTATCTTTTCCCCTACAACAACACAAGGACAATCCTGCACCAAATCTGAAGTAATGGATAGTCATCTTTGATGATGTTTCCTTTGGCAGGCAGATGTTGTCATTTAAAAGCGAACTGCTTGCTGTTGGAAGGGAAAGGAAGGAGGCAGGAGGCTCTCTGACTCTAGTGGGAGAAGGTGAAAAGCATGACACCTGTCACAACTGAGACTACTCTGATAATGAACTGCAGATGCACCTTTTTTTTAAAGAAATTATGAAATTTTCATCACACAAAGTTCAGAGCAAATTATATACGAACATCCATTTCTCTCAGTGAAGGCAAACTCTGAGAATGATTTGGGCTTCTATTGAGCAAGGGGAAGTTGATTACAAAACAACATAGAATTAACATATTAATTAAAAACAGTCAGCCCTGTAATTGGCTACAGAATCCAATATTTCATGTTAATGAAACCTACTAGGAATGCTGACTGAGCGTTCCAGTTGGTACTTCCATATTAAATAACTATTTGCATGGGAAAATTAAAGTCAAATTATTTCAGTGGCAACTGGAGTAATTTGGAAGTGTCCTCACTGGACCTTGTAATGTCTATAATGTGTTAAACTCAGAATGTTTTAAATATTTTACCAGGCACGTCAGTGCCTGGTAAAATCATGGAGAAGATGGTTCTCGAACGTATTGAGGCGCACCTGGGGGACAAAGCAGTCATTGGTCCCAGCCAGCATGGGTTTGTGAAGGGTAGGTCCTGCCTAACTAACCTGATTTCCTTTTATGATAAGATCACCCGTATGGTGGACCAAGGGAAACCAGCTGATGTGATTTTTTTGGACTTCAGCAAGGCTTTTGACACGGTTTCCCATAGGATCCTACTGGACAAAATGTCCAGCATACAGCTAAATAAAAACATCATACGATGGGTGAGCAATTGGCTAACGGGCAGGGCCCAAAGGGTTATGGTGAATGGCGCTGCGTCAGGCTGGCGGGCGGTCACCAGTGGGGTCCCTCAAGGCTCCATTTTAGGGCCGGTACTTTTCAATATTTTTATAAACGATCTGGATGTAGGAATAGAAGGCATTTTGAGCAAGTTTGCTGATGACACCAAACTTGGAGGAGTTGTGGACTCAAATGAGGGTGGAAAGGCCTTGCAGAGGGATCTGGATAGGTTGGAGAGCTGGGCGATCGCCAACCGCATGAAGTTCAATAAGAGCAAGTGCCGGGTCCTGCACCTGGGACGGGGAAACCCTGGCTGCACGTACAGACTGGGCGATGAGACGCTGGAGAGCAGCCTAGAAGAGAGGGATCTGGGGGTCGTGGTAGACAGCAAGTTGAATATGAGCCAGCAGTGTGCCCTGGCAGCCAGGAGGGCCAACCGTGTCCTGGGGTGCATCAAGCACGGCATCGCTAGTAGGTCGAGGGAGGTGATTGTCCCGCTCTACTCTGCGCTGGTGCGGCCTCACCTCGAGTACTGTGTGCAGTTCTGGGCACCACAGTATAAAAAGGACATGAAACTGTTGGAGAGTGTCCAGAGGAGGGCTACGAAGATGGTGAAAGGCCTGGAGGGGAAGACGTACGAGGAACGGCTGAGGGCACTGGGCCTGTTCAGCCTGGAGAAGAGGAGGCTGAGGGGAGACCTCATCGCAGTCTACAACTTCCTCGTAAGGGGGTGTCGAGAGGCAGGAGACCTTTTCTCCATTAACACCAGCGACAGGACCCGCGGGAATGGAGTTAAGCTGAGGCAGGGGAAGTTTAGGCTGGACATCAGGAAGGGGTTCTTCACAGAGAGAGTGGTTGCACACTGGAACAGGCTCCCCAGGGAAGTGGTCACTGCACCGAGCCTGACTGAATTTAAGAAGAGATTGGACTGTGCACTTAGTCACATGGTCTGAACTTGGGTAGACCTGTGCGGTGTCAAGAGTTGGACTTGATGATCCTTAAGGGTCCCTTCCAACTCAGGATATTCTATGATTCTATGATTCTATGATTTCAGTTTTAAATTGGAGGAAAATATAATAGGAATGCTTCTTGTTCCACAAGAGTAAATGTCTTGCATTTTTATACAAAAGGTGTTTCAATCAACTGTTAAGAATCCAAGAGACAGTGTAATTTGTGATTTTGTAGGTTTACCAACAAGGTTTCTCTGCTTAGGTGACTCTTGAATATCAACCTGATTTTTTTTAAAGGATGTAACTTTAAAATTGGCATCATAATATTTAATGTTAAGCCTTTATTTGAATGTGCTAAATCACAGTTAAAATATTGTGTATCTGATTTAACATCATTTACGTCTAAACAAAATTGAATGAAGCTGAAGGAAAGCAAGTCTCATTTCTAATAAAAATAGCCAATAGTCTCCACCCCATTGTAAAACAATTTCAGGTTGTGTAGTGACTGCTTCTATGGAGGGGTTCCCCCTTCCCCAGCTCCTAATATCTCTGAGGGTAATCATTTCTTCAGTGTCAAGAAAACTGATCATGGTGCTAGCTTTCAAAATAATACTGTCAAATTATTTCTTAGAGCGCAGTGGGATACTCTGGTTTAGACAAATAGATAGGATGTTTCAGTCAGTGTGTAATTTAAACTGCCATTAAAACTAATGGAATACTTCCATCATCGTGTGGTCTTGTTTTAATTTATTAGTTATAGCAGGGCTGGTTGTTGTTTATGCTTATTATTGCTGACGTGCCAAGCTAGTATGAAAAAAAAAAGAAGATAAAACACTGAAAATAAAATCAAAAAGAAATGTTCCAATTTGAAAAAAGAAGGAAATACTTTCCTTAATTAAAATTATTATTGTCTCTGCATGTGTGTTCATTCAGGATTATCAGAATATCTTTTAAATGTGCTGAATATTTTCTGATTAGCTTAGGCTGGGAAGCTTAATTCTCTGTTAGAGTTAGGAAAAAGTAAATTGAAATAAGCATTACAATGATACGTTGCCTATGACAGAAATAAATCTCATGTCTGGAAGAACAATGGTCCCATTTCCATTAGGTGTATTCAAGACACCTAATGATGTGGGATTCTGTGGTATTATGCCTCCAAAGCAGGGCATTTTTTTCTTCATCTGAAGAGCCTCAGCTGGGCCTATGATCCAGTCACTTAAAGTCTGTAGTACATTCCTCTAGATGCCTTTTGGTGAACTTGGCCTACTTAGGAGCATCATGCAAATGTACTCCTAGCTGGGATACAAAATTTGAAGCTTTTAAAGCACTTTGAGTCCAGGCCCAGTGTCAGCGCTGTGTGAAGACCAGGCAGGCAGGTGTGTTTCTATTGTTGCCTTCCAAAAGCCCAGTTTTGATCCATCTGTGGCACAAGATCCTCTGCAGGTTGGCAGTACAACCATCACCATGGCCATGCATGCACCAGGTTGTTTGAAAAGAGACACCTCTAGGGTGACTACAGAAGCTTTCTGTAGCATTGTCTGAGTTCTTGTCTTCTTTCTTTTTCTGTCTTCACTTACTCAAGCTACTTAGCAAATAGCCCGGTGTGTAACCATGCTTCCATCTTAGCATGGTGTACTTCTACAGGAGGGTGGTCCCCTCACTTCAAACAGGCAAACAGCGAGGACAGACAGTCCCTTGTACTACTCCAAATACATAGGGTTTTTATATTATGAGTCGATGAAACTAACTGCATTTGTTTTCTCTGCAGATGAAGATTTGTCCCATCTACATGCTCTCTGTAAGAATCATACAAGCCAGGAACATCAAATCAAGAGACCTGTGTGAGTTGTGGTTTGCATGTGCTTTTAGTCACCTGTAGAGTTTACACAGTGAGCAACGCTCCTAAGTTCTGAAGGTATATAAATAAAGTACGTAAAGCAGAGCAATAGAAGTATTAATGCCAGGGCTATAATTAGATCAAATGCCTACGCCATCATTACTTTGAAGGTCATATCTAGTTGCATTTCAGGGAAATGGTAAAATCCAAGACTCCCAGGTGAACTTTCTGGACCAATAAAAACATGTAGACCATGTGAGATGTGAGGGCACTGCAATCTGTAAATATGCTTGGAGTTGTTTGGTTTTGATGTTCTTAGTGAGCATACATCATATCATGGGCAGGCATTTTGCCACACAGGACATGTATTTAGGAACCATTTATTGAAATGTATTGATTATATACCATAGTCAAAAGTAAATTAGAGAATTTCAGGCCTTCTACAATACAGAGTCATTTGGAGTATTTCATGTTAAATAATGTTGCTAGTTTCTGGCTAAGGAGAGCCTCTGCAGATCAGCCCTAAGTACATGCTGAACATGCAGGCACAACAGATTTTTTTCCATGTACTTTTGTATTCAACATTCTTTTACTCATTATCTCACCCTCACAGCTTCCTATGGCTCCTTCTCAAGGTGTCTGATGGATGAGCCATTCAGGCTGTCGTTTTTTTGCAGTGTCCTTTGTGTTCTTCAGCCAGTAGAAGAACCTTGAGCTGCCTTTTCTCACACTCACTCTACTTCAAATACCATGTAGCGACGTCCAGAGGTGGACACTAGAAAAGTGATAGCGTGACCTGTATTTCTAAGAGTTTCAATGACCTGTTCTATCTACTCTATTGAAGGGACAGTTCCACTTTCCTGCCAAAACCTTGCGGGGCATTGTTATTCACTGCTTGATACCAGTCTGAAGTATTTAGGCATCTCGGGCTGCAGTAGACATCTTCAGTCAAGTCCAGACTCCAGCTCTGAAAGACACCATCTCGGAGATTTCTTTTCACACCGATGTCAAGCTCCACAAAGTAAATGAACTTTCCCACCCTGGCTCTTCCCAAAGGATGGCTGCTCCAGGCACTGACTGCACTAATAATGAAGAATAGGTTTAGGGTAGAAATGAGAAGATTTCTGACTTACTCATGTCCTTGATTCTTGGACCCACACCAGCCTTTAGCTGCAACAGGTCTTCATACTTGGTAGCTAACACTTCTAGACATCAGGCATGTCCCCTCTGTGTGTCTGTCTTGTGAGACAGCAAGCCAGTCTCATCTTGTCTTCTCTGTAATACGTGTTCTCTTTTCCTGTAATAGTCCTAATAGACCTTTTTGGAACTAGCATTGCTTTCAGCTAAACTTCTTTTTAAACACAGTTGACTGGAATGGTAGGGAATATGCCTGATGAATGGTCAGTGGGCTCTTTTCTGCCTCTTTGTCTTCACACAGGAAACACTGCTCTTAGTGTATCTTGTGTGTGCATGTGTGCATGTGTGTATTTGCAACTTGTAGTTACCCAGGAATTAGGTAGTATACTAAGATGTTTTTCTTGGTTGCCTCTAACCAATGATCTCTTTACTTATTAAAAAAAAAGAAAAAAAAAGAAAAAAAAAGTATTTATTAATCCCCAGAATCATGGCCTCGCCCTACTTTTCATCTATAATATTGGCATTGGGATTTTAATTGTTTTCTGCTGCAGTGACTGCATCAGACTGCTATGTGCGCTTGTGGCTGCCATCTGCTTCAAATGAAAAGCTCCAGACCAAAACCATCAAGAATTCTGACAACCCTGTCTGGAATGAGACTTTCTACTTTAGGATCCAGAGAGAAGTTGAGGTAGTGAAAAAACAGAGATTTTACTATTTTGAATAGCTGGGAGTCCTCACATTTCACCCCTGTGGGTCAAATGTACAAAATAACTTAAAAACAATGCTTGAGTAACAGAATTTGCAACTGACTCATTAGCACAAAACAGCAGACATATGGAGTAGTGTTCCCTTCAGATAGTTGTAGACATCTGTGATACATACACCTATATCTGAGCTAGTCTAGATTCCCCTTGTTGTCACCTGAGAGAAATAAGTACTGCTGTAGCATGCCTCATCTCAGGGCTACTTTAGATGGTTAATACAGAAAAAGCATTCCCTCCACTGATTGTAAGGTAAGGGTAGAGGAGTTGCTGTGGTTTAGAGAGCAAAGTTGCAGTGTGATGACTTCAACTGATGAAATTAATCGTACCCTAAGCTATGCAGTTAAGAGAACTTTGGGAATGAAGAAACTGAATAGTTTTCTTTGGATGGGTTATCAGAGAGTGGCACAGAGCACTGAGCATCTTTTTTGTCTTGGAATAGTAGGAGCTCTCTGTTAGTAGTTGTCTTCTATTCAATTATAAGTTTCCCAAAGTTGGATTTAGTGATTGAGTTCCACATTAGCAGACTCCTGAAAGAAAGCACAGTGCTAGTAAATCAGCAGCAAAAGTCTGTAATCATTTTTTTTTTTTTTTGAAACAGCAGCTCAGTAAGTTCATATTTATTTTCTTCTACTACCAGAATGTTTTAGAATTGGCAGTGTGTGATGAAGATCCACTTACGAAAGATGACATGCAGTTCACAGTTCTTTTTAATGTTGCTAGAGTCAGACCTGGAGAGAGAGTCCGTGAGACATTTGCTTTGAAATCAGAGGTAAGGACTGAAAATACATGGACAGATCTTACTTTCCATTTTGGCTTCTGTGTTAGGTAGGTTTGGGTCTGCATAAACAGATATCCTCACATATTGATATCATTGCCAATATCTCATCAAATCAGGTATCATTGTGCTGGATTTTTATGACTTCATTAATCTCTTTTAACAGATTCAGAAAATGAAGCTGCTTCTCTCCTATGCAACTGTCTCTGTGCAGACAAAAAAGTGATAATAACTAGCATCTGTAAATACAGTCGTATTCATCTTTTATAATCCCACAAATAACTTTCTTACTTTTCAGCTTTATTCCACTTTTCCCATGCTTAGAGGACATTTCCTCTTAAATTACAACTTCTTATTAATAACTTGAAGACAATCCACTAACCAGTTGAATTAAACGATTCTTTCAGGCTTCTCCTGTTTGGGTTCATGCTGGGTTTCCTTCTAGTCGATTCAGATTTCCATAGCCCGTAATGAAGGCATGCCTGTTCTATTAACATCTTTGGTATTCTGTTAAGGAGCCCATGAGAGAGAGTTGTCCAGGGAACAAAACTGGGATAGCTTTGTGACATCTCCATGAGTTGTGGATGAGGAACTGCTACATGCTTATTACAGTCCATACCTACAAGAACAGCTACTTCCCAAATGCTGAAAGCTGTTAACAGGGATCCTCCTAGTGACTCTGCAGGCTGGTGGCATGCATTTCTCAGCCATTTCTGTCCGAGTCATTGGGAAATAACATGATTCAATAACTTCCTCAGTCTGGGGCGCTCTTGCCCACTTCATCTCTGCTGAATTCAATGTGAATGTGATTTAAATGATTTGTACATATAAATGACACTGGAATTAGTGACATTTGTTGCTGGGCTTCAATATTTTTCTCCCAGGCAGACCGTCTTTACTGAAAGATATATTTCTGATTCAGCTGAGCTTTTCCTCTCTGATTGTATCTTTGAAAGGATGTATAGTACTACATATCCAATGATGGGAGAACATTAATCTTACTTGCCTTTCCTGAGCCTGTGGTTTCCATTGCATTCTTAGCTTTTTTGGTAACGTTAGCAGAAGAGATATCAGCCATGGAAGTGAAACACTTTTCTGATGTGTCTCTACTACTGAACTCTTGCAGCCTCCAATAATCCACATGTATTTTACCCTTTTCCTTTTAGAAAGAGAGGTGCTCTAAGAAATGGGAAAGTTTGGAAGTGGAGTTCTGGATGGAAAAAATGTGAGTAAAATTCCAAAGCTGAAAAGTTTAGTTCTGTCATGCAGTATAATATCTCAGAGAAAGAGGAAGTTCGTCCAGCTCTTCCTTACGGCAGTGAGCTGAGATTGCTGTTTCAATTTCTTTTTTTAACCTTAGCTTTCTCAGCTACTTCTATCTTTTAGTGTATCTTTTACAAGTCTTACCTTATATTTGATACCTAAATCCTGATCATGGAAATGTAGTAACATTGGCAGGATTCAATAAGTTGTGCACAAGATGCATACAAGACCTAGGAGAGGTCCTTTCCAAGCTGTTAATACTCATATAACAATGCCTTGAATACTTTAGTTTTTCTAAAAGACCAGAAAACATGTATTATTACCACAAAATATACATAGAATGATGTAGACAGCAATAGAAAAATCATTAGGTGCTAGCATAGTTAAACTGAAAAAACATGCAATTAACAAATAGTAAAATTAAGGCCCTCCTCCTCAAATTGGTAATCAACATTGGAGGAGAACAAATCCCATAAGATAAATTTTCTCTCTTTTAAATGCTATCACAAATTTGACTGAAAAACAAAACAAAATGAAACAAAAAACAAACTAAACAGCATTATCTGTCCAGTTTTTAACGTTACAAAAAACATAATATAGTCTGTTTAAAACTGACTAACTTCATGATTAGAAGAAGAAACTGTGAATAGGGCTTCTTAGTCTTAAAAATGGAATAGGTGCAGAAAAAATGTCTGGCATTCTTGGTTAACACAGCGTAGCTCAGAAAATCTATTTAATTTATCTGTGGAAGATACCTTAAGTGATGGTGCAAGCATCCCCTGCAAATGTGGAAGCAATCACAGCCAGATGTACAAAAAGCACAGAATGAGATGAAGTGTCTGGAAACTGGACTGTGCAGATTCAGACTAGAAATAAGAGGAACATTTTTCACAGTTCAAGTTACAAAGCATGTGGGGAATTCTCCACCCTTGGAAGTGAAACCTAGTTATTTATATGTAAATACATTCTACTGCTGAAATAGAAGTTATAGTGCTTGACATGCTGCTTGGTAAAATGTCTTGGACTTTGCAGAAAGTCAAAGATTACATACTACATAGCTTCAATGGTCCTTTCAGATCTATGGAAGCACTTACGAATGTGTGTAACATAGTGCCATTGGAGCATTAGCCTTAATTAGAGATTATGTTAGTAGATTCTATAGGTTACTCATGGGATTAAATAACTACTTCCATTCAGTGACAAACCTAGGATTTACAAGGTAAAATATCTGGAACAAAGACTTTATATTACTTAGCTGTATGTTTTCCAGTCATACATATGATGTGAGCTAATCCTTATTTGCCGTTCTTTGGTGACCAGTTGTACATTATAATCTGGATCAGACAGAAATATCTGTCCTAATAAGTATTTGGAGAGTACATTAATAGTAGTCTTTGCTTTCCCCAAGCCATGTGGCCATTTGTTAGGGGCAGGACATGATTCCACGTAGACCAACACCTTTTTCTTCTGTAGTTTTAAGAATTATTATTTTTATGGGCTCTCCTGTCTTCTTGTTTAGCAACTGCATTTTGGTTCATATACTTAGCAGATGATCATGCATTACACCTTTCAGAAAACAAATTATGACACTAATGTAATGATATTCAATTTTAAGCAGAAAAGATTGTAAAACTGCTATTAAAAAATAAAATACTAGGTACTCACACATCTTTTTTTTTTTTTTTTTTTTTTTTTTTTTTTTGCTTCTGTCTTTTTAGTCCTGGTCCTCCAGAGTATGTCATTACCAATGATGTCCTAGTGGTAAGGTTCAAATATGAATTTAGTTTGGAGTGACTTTTCCTTCATTTATTTTTCTACTTTTGCCCCTGGCCATCTGGTATTTTGCAGGGAGAGCAGAAGCTACTGTTACTGATATGAGCATGGTCGATGGTATAAAAGAAAAATGTGTAACAATTCCCCTTTGTTATGATATAAATGTTGTCCACTCCATGCAAAAAGAGAAACTGTGTTTCTTGAAGTTCTCATGTATCAGTATTTTAAACAGTTATGGTTTGCTAATGTTTCAGCATCCTGTGTTGGTTGGCATTCAAAGTGAAATGAGTTTCATGTAATATAGCGTGGCATTTGGCAGGAAGAACAAAGGTTTGAAAGGGATGAGTCTATAGAAGAAGACATCAATAAGTAGTCAATGTGCTTATGACTGGAAGGTTATCTAATGTAGCAGCTTTATAGGAAATGAGTTTTTTAATGAACAGCTATTTTAATTATTGAAACAGAGTCCTCTTGTGGTATTAGTCAGCATGTGGTCCATTACCTATCTCCTTGGGCTGGCCCAGCAGCAAAGGAGTACAAAGCACCTCATGCCAACCACTCCAAGCATGCGTATGATTTCCAGATGCTAGCCTTTAATACCCATGCGGCAAAGTAATACATATTCTGTTCTTTCCCCCTCATTTTCTGTGTGAGGCATAAGAGCTGTAATGATTGGCATGTGTTGTTCCTGAAATGGCTTGGAAAACTGTCCTGGCTTGAGTTATTAAGGGTGAACTGTAATGACTCAGGTGGCGGGTAGGGTGGAATAAATCCATGATCAGAACCAACAAGAAGATGCCTTGTAGACGAATCATGGCCATGATACACTAAAACTCATCATCAGGTGGTTTCCTCCCACCCTTCCTAAGTAATTATCATATATATATGTGTACCTGAGTTTGGGCAACAGTGTGTTGTACAGAGATTCCCAATTTGGGGATAACTTCAATGGGTATAATCACCTCTGTCAGTGCACCACTGTATGGACAAGCTAGTTGTAAAGCATTATAACTGGGCTACTGTTCTGAAATAATGAGCTCTGAATTTCTTCTTGTACAGCTAGATTGCTGCCAGCACTGAGACCAGTTTAGGTTAGCCCTATATTGTAGCTACTAGATGGCTGCATGATGGTTTGTTATTTGCTGCAGATACGGCATTTGCTGTTTTCAAACTTTTCAAACTTTTCAAACTGTCTTTTACAGTCACGTGAAGTTTGGTGCTTGGAAGTGCAAGTGGACAGTAATGAAAGCAGGAAATATTTGAAAGGTATGCAGATATCCCTGTGAAGTGAGGACACAACCAAATCATAAGCATTCAGATCCAGATGGAGGCACTTCAGGTTACAAAGACTACTAATAACCTTCTAAAGACAATAAAATGCAGTGCAGTGAAAGTCCCTGAACTGCCTCCAGTTGTAACTCTGATCTCTGTGATCTCCGATCTCTGATTCCTTGAAGCTATCAAATTTGGGCACAGTAAATTTTACTGGTAGAGGTATGAGAGAGTGCTGACTCTGGGAGCACGCCAAGTTTTGGGATAGATGCAGGAGTACCAGTTTCTGTGTTGTAGAAGACTTGTCAGCGTAGGAACTTACGGAGGATTTACCACAGAGAATGTCTGCAGCAAACTTTGTTAGCTCTTTTGCCTGAACAGTGGTAATACTCTCTAAACAAATCTGTTTTCACTAGAGGGTAAAAATCTCGTGCTTACGGTGCCTGCATCTCATGAAGGAACACAGAAAGCTACAGAGGACACAGATACTTTCTACTTCCATTGTGTGAAGGCTTGGGAGCCAGTTCTAAAAGCCAGGCTGCAGGTAATGTGAACTGCACCAAGCCAATTCTCATACTGCTCGCTTATTTTCAGTGTTACCAAAACAGTGGAGAACTGCTGCCCTGCTGTGAGTAAAATACATTTTTTTTTGTTCTCTGCAGAAAGTTTCTGATAAGGAAGATGACAGAAACAATTTAAGTGATACGTTAACAGTACCACTGAAATTTCTCCCTGTTGGACACAAAGTGAAAGTAACCCTCCCTGTAAGACATGTAAGTACCTCACCATTTATATGACCTTTTGGAGAGATGACTAAAGTCACCATCATTATTTAACATAATATCAATTGGAAAAATAATTCAATTGGTAAGTCTGGGTGAGAAGACAAGATGCGAATACAAGAAATATCATTTTTCTGTCTGTAAAATCAGTAATTGGGGATTCATCCTGGCCATTTCTAGATGCCTAAGTTCAATGTTTAAATGTAATAAAAGACCAACCTCTTCTGTTGTTACACAGTTAAAGGAGAATGTTCAATACTGTCTCTACTGTCTGTATCAAGCCTGGGTGGTTAGCTCAGTCTATTTTAGGTAGCTAAAGTTAGACGAGTTGAATCTTACCCTCAGAGAACAATTTTGCACATTCCTGTATGTACAACAGTATTGATGGTAACTGGTGGACAGGTACAACTTTAAGTTGCTTTAAAAGCAGGAATGACACTTCTGCGTGACCAGATGAATCTGTTAACAACAGCCAGACATGCTTTTTCACACTGTGCAGCAAATGGGAGGCAAATACAGGAGGAAAAGAATTACTTGGAAACATTTCTCCTACAGAGATGGGAGAATGAATGTCTGTTTCACAGTTGATTGCCCTACATCCAGTAGCTTTTGGAAAGGATGTGGTATCTTGAATTTCTTCTCCCTAACACTGTCTTTAGCTGGATACTGTTCTTAATTCTCAAGAATGAGAAAATGGCAGTGTGATACTGGGCTAGGCTGGTTCATGGGGTGACAGTGAGTAGGAGTCGTTTCACAGTCTGGTCAGGTAGCCACTTCAATACCTCCTGCCTCTCTAGCATCTCTACATAATATGTTTGGTTTTTATTTGCTTACCTTTCCATTCTTGCTACAATTTTCTAAAAGACTGAAGGGTGGTGGTGGTGGGGGGCATTTCAGGAGTCATTGAAAATCTGGATCTCTAAACTTTATTTTCACAGTCATTCACATTCCTGCTCATGTTTCTTTGTTTACAGAATGTGCCACTGCAGCTGTACCTCCAACTAAATGATTGGTAAGGGGACTGTTTTGTTTCTCTACAAGTTTTATTACTATTTGAACAATGAATTCTAGAGCAGAGTATCCTTCATTTAGATGTAAGGAATGCACAAGACTAAGGGCAAAATACCTTGACAGTTAAGTCACCATGAAAGAGTCACCACAACAGAGCAAAAGTAAATTGATTTGAGGCAACAGTCATGTTAAAATGCAAAATAAATAAACAAACAAATAAATAAATGAGAATTTCAAACAGTGAGGAACTTAGTCAGATGTCCTTTGCGTCAAAGAACCAAAGACTGAGATTGGAGATTTCTTCAAAAGGGACAAGTAAGCAGGAAGAAGGCAGAGGGAGAAGGGGATTTGACTTGATCTAAACATCCAGATCCTATATGCTATTCAAACCACACATATTTTCTTAAGAAAATAGACTTGTAGCCATGGTATTATCAATAGAAACAAGCATAAGCTAGGGAAGATGAAACGTTACGCTGTAAAATAATGAGACATACAAAAAATAAAAACAAAATAATTTGAATACATTTTTCATTCTACTGTTTCTGTAGAAATCAATGGTTTAAATCCCCACGAAAGACCTTGTTAGGTTCTAATGACCTTTTGCTCAGAAATTCTTTTAAGGAAACATAGAAAATATTCAACTAACAAAGCTACTGAAGGACACAAATAATCCTTTCTCTTTCCATATCTGCTGTCCTAAGCTGGCAGTAAGACATGCTGAAATATCAGAAAATAATGAGACTGTGTACAAGTGAAACATTTCATTTATTTGCAAATGAGATCTGCATTTCTGCCTGTAAATCTGAACAGTGAATCATGATTCTTTATGATGTTTAATAGACTGCAGTTGCTGAAAATAGATCCATGTGCATTTTTAAGACTAATCCTGTGCCTCTGGACTTATTTATGTTGCAGCACGGAAAAACTAGATGTGCGCTTAGGATATGATCTATGCCGAGAAGAGCAGGAATTCTTGCAAAAAAGGAAGAGAGTGGTTGCCAGTGCCCTGAAAAGAGTTCTTCATTTGGAAAGAGATCTACATGGACATGAGGTCTGTGAGCTGGAATCTGAGCATGGGCTGTGGACCTATTGAGTTTGGATTGGCACATCTCCCCACAAACCTTCTAGTAGTTTTTGCACATTGATGACAAACCCATTGATTTGAATGGCAGCATAACTGAAGTTCTTGGAGTGGCATATCCCATACTCATCTAAAATTTCAGCTCAGCTATTCAGGCCTCCATTCTCTTCATTTGGCCAAATTCCTAAGGACAGAATATATCTGTCTTCAAGGTCAGAGTTTCCAACTGTGTGATGCGGCAGGTCAGCACAATATGAGGCATTGGTATGTTCTGTGAGACACAACACAGACAACCAGACAATCCAAAATAAGTAGGAAAACAGGAGTGTTTGAAATTCACCTCCTGTGGAAATTTGTGAAGTCACCATAATGTCCCTTCTTTAGGCTTATATTTTTTTTTCATTTTCCAATCACTTTTCACAAGAAGTCAAAATTATTCAGAATGGAGAAAGAACATTTTCTAACAAGCTCCAGCTGAAGCATGGTTTGTTGCCAAGATCCAGGGTGAATTTTAAAGTGAACATTTATTTTCTTGATGGAATTTTATTTGTTGAATGGACACTGTCCAAAGAATCATTTTGTTTGCTTAATATCTTTTTCCTGAACTCTGTTCAGGACTTCCTTGAATCCATTCTTAATTATGTTTATCGAACTCTTATTATTTATAGTTAAATCATATCATTATCTGTTATAAATCATAGCAATTCCAATTATAAAGAAAAAAGAGAGGAAGAACGGTTAAAATCACTGAATTTTAACAGTTTCCAAACTCATCAAGAACGGTTAAAATCACTGAATTTTAACAGTTTCCAAACTCATCCAAGCTTTGAGATTATGAAAACTCTCTGAGTATCTGGAAGTTAATTTAAATGAAGTACTGGTAAAGACTGGCTGAACATTGATTTCACTGTTCTGCAATAAAGTCTGCTGAAGAAATTCTAGGAGCTGCAATTAGGCTTTTCCAAGTAGGCAAGTGAGTAACTTTCTGAAGATAATATTTATGTTTTGAACAGGTCCCAGTAATAGCTGTTATGGCAACTGGCGGAGGCCTCAGAGCAATGTCAGCTATGTTTGGCCACCTCTTGGCTCTTCAGAAGCTAAATCTGTTGGACTGTGTTACCTATGTCACTGGGGCTTCTGGCTCAACATGGTGAGTACAGAAGATGCGATTTGTATTTGGAATGACTATGACACCACATTTCCACATAATGAGAGAGATGCATTTATTTCAAAGTCTTACATTATTTAGAAGTGAACATAATTCCCTGGTAAAGCTATTACAGTTGGCTCTCTATCATAACTTCAGTTTAAGCTAGCTAGTTCTCTGCTTTGGTGAAAGTGTCTGGGTAAATACAGTATTTTTCATTATTAAATGGATGATTCTCTCGCATTTTTGTTCTTTAGGACCCTAGCAGACCTATATGAGCATGCAGATTGGTCACAGAAGACTCTGGAGGAGCCGCTCAGAGCAGTAAAAGAACAAGTGACAAAATGCAAACTCAACCTTATGTCTATGGAACATTTGAAGTATTATCACAAGGAACTTGCTGAAAGGGCAAAAGCTGGACATGTCTCATCTTTTACAACATTGTGGTCACTTGTTCAGGAAATGTTCTTACACGAACGGGTATGTTACACACTGCCACGTACCTTGTCCTGCCACAAATTTGAGAAATGTCCACTTGTTTTCTCTGGCACTTCCCTCTTTGTTTGCATGACATAATGAGATGAACAAATCCAGAGCAACCGAGGCATTCCAGTATGATTTTTAAATAATGACAAAGGATCCTATAGCCAGGATTTTCCAGAATAGCTGGTGCTTTGTCAGTGCCTCTGAAGTGGGGTGCCCAATGGATAGCAATTTCAGTTCGCAATTTTAAGAAAGAACTGAGCAACCCCCCCAGCAGTCAGGTGTTTTAATGTTTCTAGTTGGATACTTGAGAGCTAGAGTAACCTGCCCTCTTGTGAACATTAGTCTGAGCCTTAGTAAAGATCTGTTGGACATAGACAGTCAAGGCACTTAGATATTAATGTACAGGTCAGTAGATATCAAAAAGGCAACCAGGAAGGAAAATGAAAGGAAAGGTCTTTCAAGAAAATGTGACCCACAGATTCCTTTGGGTAATAAAACACCTGTAGTCTATCAGTACTCATGTAGATTGTCAGTGGTTTTGCCTTATGCTTTTCCAGAGGTTTACTGTGATTTTATCTGTTTGATTAGCCAAGAAAATACAAACTCACAGACCAGCGCAAGGCATTGGAGCATGGACAAAACCCACTGCCTTTCTATGCAGTCCTCAATGTCAAGGAGGAGAAGTACAGTACTTTCAAATTTAGAGGTAAGTATTCTTAGAGTTTCTTCTGACTCTGAGTAGGGACAAAAGAGAATTTGTAGGGAGGGAGTGTACATGTTTAGAAGGGGAATGCAGGAGGAATGCCTCTGTTGGTTTCCCCGACTCAGGATTCATCTTTTAATAAAATGTTTGTCTTTCTTGTGAATTGCTGGGTGTTGATTAGAAAAAGCAGACCTGCAGGATAACACCCTCAGGCACAAACAAGGCATTTCTGAAGATCTGGAATGAAGCTCTATTTTTGCCAAATACATTGTGAGTGAGTGGAAGCAAATTGTATAATCTTTTTGTGCCTTAGTTTCACACCTATAAAATGGCTATCATGGTTCCTTATTTTGAAGAGGTGCTGAGAAATGTAACTGGTACTTACCTAAATCTCTAGAGTGGAGTATGATTATAGTGATTGGCATGTTGTGACACTCTTTAGATACAGACTATATTCAGCAAGAGGTACTGAAGCGAGCAGATACTGGAAAGAAAAACCATTTAGTACTTACATGAGGTTAGGTTCATGATTACTGTTCTACAGGAATACCTATACAGGACAGCTTGAGTCAGGAAACTGTGTGGCCACGTCCACACTGTGTTACTTTCTAATTCTGAGTTGATGTGTCTTCAGGCTGCTTTCATGTAGTCTGACAGGTTTGGTTTAGTAGAGGTTTCATGCCGGTCATTCCTTGAAGGTTGGATCACACTTACATGGTGTACATTTGATGATCTTGAGTTAGAGAGACAAGTGGGATCGCAGAATCTTTATAAATATAAATCTAAGTTTTTGAAGTCATTGTTAGACTTTTTCTGAGGAGAAAAAGCTAGTTCCTTTTGTATGTGAATCACATCTCAGTTTTTAGGGAACTAGACAGTTTGCAGTACAAGCTACTGATAGTACAGAGCTGCTGAGACCAGCAAAGTTCATGTAACTTGCAGATAGCTTTATCCACAGGCCTAGGTTTTGTTTTCTTATTTTGTATGACAGTAAACGTGGCGTATGTCAACTCTTTTGTAGAGTGGACAGAGTTCTCTCCTTATGAGGTGGCCATACCAAAATACGGAGCCTCCATTCGTTCAGAATTTTTTGACAGCGAGTTCTTCATGGGAAGGCGAGTGAAGAAGCTGCCGGAATCTCGGATCTGCTATCTGGAAGGTGACCTAGCAATGCAGTATAGTTAATCACAATATGGTAGAAATTATGGTTCTAGCCACTGGTCTGTGTACAACAGCCCTTGCCAGCAGGTCTGCTCAACAGGCTTTTTACCCTTTCTGAACACTTTCTGCTCCTTGTACAGTTTCTTTTCTCCTGTCTTCTCTTTTTCCATGGGCAAGTGTGGGACATGTGTGGCAGGGTTCCCCTTCCCATATTCTGAGTGAAACAAGAAGGCAAGTTGAGGAAATTGTAAGATTGCCTCCTCTACCCAGTCATCATCTCTTCCGCCTCTTTCTAGGTAGTGCATTGTGGAATTGGAAAGAGCTGAAAATAAAATATAATTCATCTAGAACAAGCCACAAAGGGAAGAACCATCTAAGCTTTGTGGGTTGAGAATTGTCATCTATCTCCAGTAATATTCCCTGCCCACGAGGATGAAGGAAGCCCTTTTAACCTTCACCAATTTCTTCACCAATTTCTGGCTGTTCTGCCTCTAAAGACAAAGAAAAGGGGAAAAGCAGATAGTCAGAGGAATCCATCGCCCCCAGGCAGATTTGAAAGCCTTGTCAGAACTGCACTTTTTGATACCAAAAGCAAGAGTCCACTGGAGACAAAAATCATATTTCTCTCACTGTGAAGTCTGCTAGAGATTGAATTTGTTCCTCACATGAATACCTGGCATGGCGCTTATTACAGAGGATAGGTCTTTCATTTCTAAAAGCACACTCACATATAGAGATAATTTTATTTTGATTCCTGTACTAGTTGAACTCCACAGAAACAAAACATGCCTGAAAGAAAAAAAAACCCAGGCCTTAGATCAACTTAAAGAATAAATCATTTTAAAGAAAAACCTTATGGTTATATGGCTGCACTGTGATTCTCTAGTCTTATAATTTCTTTCTTTCACAAGTACACAGTAAGCGCTCTAAAACATAGTTTGGGTGACTGATACCTTGTATTTTGTTACTCTGAACTATAGAGTGGATGGTTGTGAGTAGTTATCTCTTGAGGAAGAACACTGAATTGTTGTCATCTTTAAGGTTGAACTCTCTGAGACCTACTACATAAGCTGTACCATAATGGGGTGAATTCATATCTGGCAACAATATGCAGCATTGATACTTGTAATAAAAAAAGATGAAATAGTGGTTAACATGTTAGTGAAGTACTTTTCCCAATTGTTTTGATTTGCAGGTCTTTGGACAAACATTTTTACTAGGAATTTGCTGGATGGCTTATACTGGTCTTCAAATTCAAATGAATTCTGGGAACGATGGGCCAAAGATATGGTAGATATAGGTAAGAGTTTCCGAATCAATACTTGTTTTTCATCAGACCATGCTTACTATTAAGGAGAGGATTGAGGAAGTTATACTATTACAACTGTTTCTGAATAATCTCTCACATTCTCCCTAAACCATCTTGTGTTGCATAGCTGTAGATCTTCAGTATGATATTCAGCTGTATCAGAATGATTTCATTTGTTTCTATTTCTTTTTCTGTTTCGTTAACTCAGGGGCACACTTCATGCTCGTTGCAAATGTTTTTCATTTAGAATTTGCTCATTGTCTGTTAAATGACTCCTGTGGCTGTAAATGAGGAGGGTGGCTTATGCTTCTAGTCAAAAGTACAAAGAAAGTATATAAAAGAAAACAATGCACGCTTGCTTTAAGCAAAGCCAACTATCTCTGTGTTTAATTGGGCATATATTTTTCAGTAAACTGCAAGAAACAGGAAGGGAAGAGACACACAGAAAGACAGCGAGGACAGCTAGCCTGCAAAGGTGTCTAACAAAACAGATTGCTTACATGTATATTTTTTTCTCACATTTCCTTCTCTATTTCAGAAAAACATTCCCCTGAGGAGGATACCACTATCATCGAGCCTCCATCTTGTTTGTCAGGGAAGTTGTATGAAATGTTTCAGGACATTATGACCAAGCGTCCACTACTGGGAAAGTCTCATAACTTCCTGAGAGGCTTAGAATTTCATAAGGATTATGCCCATCAGAAAAAATTTGTTGAATGGAAAGGTAACTGCAACAAAGAGTTAGCTGCAGTGTGCAGGTAACATCTCAGATTTTTTTTTTTTTAGACTTTGGAAATCTCACATTTAGAGATACTTTCTCAGGGTTTGGAAGTCTGCTGAGATGGAATTTGGTTTTATCTCTTTCTTCAGGGTTAACTGGTTATAATGAACTAGTCCATGGGCCATTCTTTCACCTGCTGAAGAGATCTGTAATCTGAGTCACAGCATGTTCTTCTACAGGAAATTTGTCATTCTGCATAGGTTTAATAGTCAAAAGAAACAAAAAAAGAATAGACTCTTGAGGTAAAGAAACAGAGGTAACATTAGAGGCATAAACCAGCAGGTAATTGTGTTGAGCCACATAGGTTTTGACTGAATATATTAAACAAACATAATACCTAGACTTGATGTATAGATGGAACAGTAATTTCCTATGGCCTGTGCTCTGCAGGAGGGCAAAGTAAGCAGTCATAATATTTACCTCAAAAACTATGAAATGTTGTGTGTGAGGTAATGGAGCTGAGCTTTTGTGTACCACAAATCTTCCTGTAATCCCAGCGTCCTCATTTGCATTTATTCCATGAGCAGATATCAGCATGGTAGGACCCCACACGAGTCAGGCTAATCTGACTTCAGCAAGGAAACACGTGCACTCTGCCTCCTCTGAGTCCTTCTCTTTGGCAATTTGTGTTTTGTCTCCTTTGTTTCATGCAAGTTACAACACTGTTTATGTCTGGCTGCCATTGCTACCTGAAGCTTGCTGACAATAGCAAGAGGTGTGGAGTTTTTTGTGGATTAAGGCAGAGCCCACAGAGTGCCAAGTGCTTTCAGCATGTTCAGTAAGCAAGAAGACTTTGTCCTAGAAGAGTCTACTCTAAGAAAACAAGTAGCATAAGAAGGGTGGGTGAGAGAAGGAAGCGAGCAAGTAGCTTAAGAAGGCAGATTAAGGATACAATTGTCAGTCAGCAAGCATTAAGAAAAAGGTCCTTACATTTACTGACTAGCAGTTTTGTAAAGGCAAACAAGTAGAAGCAGATTTCAAGGAGGATTTGAAGGAAGAGGAAAACTAAAGATTACCTCAGGACAGATATTCTCCGAAAAAAAAAGTAAAATAGGTGGAAGGCCAAAGAAAAGTAAAATAGGTGGAAGGCCAAAGTCTGGAGTGGGAAAAGGGAAAATAAAAGTCTGGAGTGGGAAACAACAGTAGATGATGTATTGGTTTTTGTCTACCTGCATGAGACCAAGCTAAAACCAGAGCTGAATCCATCTCTAGAACAGGCGCAGGAGTACATGCCAGCTCTGTGGGCAGAAATGGTAGCCTCATGATAGGAGAGGTCTCCAGAATACAGTTCTGTTTAAATACTTCCCTGCAGCTCGGGTTAACTGACATATTAAAACAACACTTTAAATGGCTTGTGCAAAGCCTCATTTTTGTGGTGATAAATTTGAGAACTCATAGTAGGGAATCATTGTAATACATTTACGGTAGGGTTTGTGCTTTTGAGGGAATTCCCGAGGAAGACCTTCAAAAGCCTCTTTTTGAGTATGAAATGGAGGTAGGGGTTCTCCCAAGGAAAAGCCTAGCTCTAATTCACTTATCCAGCCATAAATACTGCACAGTTCCATCTCCATGATAAGAAAATCGAGGCACTGTAATTTCAACTAAAAATATTCACCGGGCCAATTAGAGCTAAAAAGGGACTGCATGCAAACGTCTCTCTTTACAGCAGAATTTGTGAATTCCTATCAGCCTTGAATGCTAAAATAAGCAATAATTTTGTAAAGATCTGACACCAAGGGAATGGAAAAATAAGAGTTATTACTTCAAGATGCTGTCAAACATTCCAGGCTATGGAACAAGTTGGATTTATTCTACTCGGTTTAAATCAACACTACAGAATGAGGCCAGGGCAGCAGAGAGGCTGAAAGAAGTGAGATGCTGGAACTTACCTGCAGTATTTCTGAAATCAACATTTTTTTGAGCATACCTAAGCACAGATGTTTCAGGGATTGAGGGGTCTGCTCAGGGCTTTATTGCCTCATTTTGTGAACTTGAAGAAATCTCTTTAAACACTATTTTGATATTTAAAACCATGGCAAAAGTTTTTTATTCTATGGGAATAGAAATGATACCAGGATAACGATAGGAGACTTGCTGTCTACAGGGTGGCTGGTGGGGTTCCTGGCAGAGAAATGAGTATCTAGCTGTTAGAAACTGGCTTTAGATCTCAACATGCCAGCGAGGATAATCCACTTTTTGTTTTGTTTTGAGTTAATGTGAGTTTTAATTAATTCGAGCAGTATTTTAAGCTGATGGTAGGAGATGGTGCATGCATGATCTGGTGTTTTTTCAGCTAAGAAAATGTATATGAGTGGTCACTGAAAGCAAGCTGAAGTCAGAGTTTTCATCCAGGGACAGGAGTCTACACCAGAGAATGCAAAAGCAATAAAGAGCAATGCATAAGAGCAGAGAGGTACTACATTTGTTAGATTTGTTGGTACACTGTGAAGTTATTTTTGTTGTTTGCATTTTTCACAGTTCTTAGCAGGGGAAAAAATCGGCAAAAGTCTGTATTCTGTGAAAAATCAATCCCCAGAGCAGCTGTGAGGCCAGTGGAGTCTGTGTCTCACCTGTCCTCTGCCTGGCTGCCTCACAGCCTGCCTTTGCGAGGCCACGATTGTGGGGTCGCATTATGGAGGGAGGTGAGCCTGGTCTTGAGGGCAACCAAGGGGCTGCCCTTACTGTGTAGCAAGCTAGAATTACTGACTCCTTCTTTCCTACCAATGCACTGCTAACTATATTCAAAATGTTTTTCAGACACTGTGCTGGACTCTTTCCCTAACAATCTGACGCCGCTGCAGAAATATCTTTGCCTGATAGATGTTGGCTATTTCATTAACACCAGTGGTGCAGCACTTTTCAGGCCAGAAAGGAATGTAGACGTCATTATCTCACTTGATTATGGTTTGGGGAATGTGTTCAAGGTGAGAAGATTAACGTGCTCTGTTCCTTCCAGCCCTGGTTAAACTCTTCTTGTATAGCTGTGAGATTTAATAGCCAAATTCATAGATAATGCTCAAATTACACAGTGATCATCTACTTCAGAAATGACTAAATGATAAAGGCATAAAAGGGATCCTCATACCAGAAGGGTTAGATTCTGAGGTGAGTAATAGAGTTAGTTGGTGTTCTGAGGAAGAGGACTGTATCAGGTTGGTTGCTCTAGATTGTAGTGTACGTACCATGTTTATTTAGTTTTAATCACATATTTCAGGGCTTCTGCAGGTCCACATGGGTAGTCAGGAAAATTATTCCCCTTTGTATGTTTTTTGTGTGTGGTGGTGGGCATGGGAATTGATCAACAGGACAGAATATGCAAATCCTTGCTTTATTAAAACTTTGAAGTAAGCTGCTCTTTAAGTCTTGATCATATACTCAAATTCTAAGTGTGGTCATTTCCTCTAACTATAAAAAACTTCATAGGGTGAGAAGTGTTTTCTGACTTGTGGTGTGTGGTGGCAAAAAGTAGGGTTATTCTGTGGCTATTTTGGTCTACGCATTCATTGCAGCATAATTCTGGGGAATAAATTAAGCTGCCACAGTATTTCTATGATGCATCAGTAAACCTGATTCTTGTCCTAGAGTTGGCTTTAAGGCATTGGCATTCTGTATCCACAGCAATTGGAGATGACATACAAATATTGCAAGATACAAAAAATCCCTTTCCCCAAAGTGGAGCTAAGTGAAGAAGAGGAGAAAAACCCAAAGGAATGTTATGTGTTTTCGGATCCAGAGGACCCTAGAGCACCCATAGTAATTCATTTTCCCCTGGTGAATGACACCTTTAAGGAATTCAAGGAGCCTGGTAAGCTCAGTCATTTTAGTTGAATTTGGGTCATTTGTCTTTCCACAGTACTGATCTTATTTGTCTTTTCTAGCAATAATTTTATGAGAGGGCATGGCCTTTGAGTCAGACTACCTGGTCTCCTATCCCTCTCCTTACAGCTTTACCCAACACTATATTGTGGTTCTGGGACCACAGCAAAATGTCTGTCTCTGAGGGACCATTTGGGGAAAGATAGGAATAGCAGCAAACCAGGTTAAGTAAAGGTCCTTTGCTGCTATGATATTTACCACTGAATGCTCAGAGAGCGTGTATGTTAACAAATACTCCAACAAAATCACATTCAGAAACTCTGCAGACAAACAGAGGAGGTGCCCAGCAGAGGAAACTGGGCTCGTTAGGTGGAGCTGGAGCTGGTCCAAATGGAAATGTGCCATCAGGTAAGGCTACTGAACAGTGTCTAGCAGGTAAAACAGGTGAGTGTTTCAGAGGCCCTCTGAATGAAAGATAGATGAGAGTATGCAGAGCAAAACAGCTGCTGCAGCTTCTCAGTGCTCCAGGCCCAAATCTGTGAGCTGTGTCGCTCACCTGCATGTCTCCCAGCAGCCAGTGATTCATCGATCAAGCTGACAGCCAGCAGCTGATGTGGGTGGTTGGGGGAGGAGGGTCCTTGGCAACTTGTTTGCGTGGATTTTAAGTTTAACAGGGGAGCTTTTCATTTCCAGATGGCTGAGAGACACCTTGTGGAATGTGGATATTTATTTTTCCAGCTTTTAACTACGTTCTAGAAAAGAAAAAGAATTGGCTTGTGAAGTGCCCATTTACAATGACACTATAGACTGTGCTTTTCTGTGCTTGGAGCAGATGTAGCTGTACATGAATGTGGACAGCACAGATAATGTGGCTCTCTGAATATCAGGAGGTTCCATGAAGTAAAGCTTGGACATTTTTAGTACAACCACTTCTACTGACAGCCTGGGCCCAGCACCCTGACATCCCACTGCCAAGAAACCACTGGGTTAGACTAAAGCCTGCTGTGTGTCAAGCAAAGTTCACGTGCTGCTTTCACGTGGTTCTAGTAGACATTGTAGGGGATACCTGGGCAGTCCATTTGTAGCCCCACTGACTGTCATCTCACAGCACATTTGTGGTTGGGGCATGTTTGATTCAGACTTCAAGGAGTTAGGTAAAAAAGAAAGAAAGTATAATGGTTAAAAATTTGTAAAAGCATAAATATGAGGCTGCTGGGCTTTTTAGTGGAGGTAATTAGGGTGTCTTGCTTTTATGCAAAAAGATTGCCACAACAGAGATGAAGGATGTTGGCAGCAGCAAGGGATCTGGCTGAGCTGAGGTTGAGAAGTTGTGCTGAAAGATGAGAGGCTGACGTGGGGAGCTCGGATCCCTCTGCACCTCCACACTGTTTGACAGCTGACCAGGAATGGCTCTTGCAAGGCGTGGTGGGGTGTAGTCTCCTGGAGGCTGTTTTTAACAGCTGGTTCTGCTAACTAGATCAGTCCCCTCCAACACCGGGGTGTTCTGTTCCAGATTCAGCTCACGGTGGTGGCTTTTCTCTTCCTCTGCAGGGGTAAAGCGCAGTCACTCAGAGATGGAAGAAGGCAAAGTAAATCTGGAGAACAGCTGCTCACCCTATTACCTCGTTAGGCTAATCTACTCCTCTGAAAATTTTGACAAACTCGTGAACCTAAGTAAATACAACATCCTCAACAACAGAGACCTGCTCCTCCAGGCAATCCAGAGTGCTGTGGAACGGAAAAGAAGTGGCAGGACTGGGAATCTCCCCAGCCACTCTGGAGCTGAATATGCATAGGCTGAGTTTTTGTACTTTTCCCTACTGAAGGCTACGATGGTCACATTACAACACACAACAATCACATAACATGTCACAGTCACATTACAACATATCACAGTGTTCATTATTTGCAGGAAATTGAGGAAACCTGTACATTTCTCATCTTGCCTTGTTCAAGTTCCTAGCTTTCAAAAGGGTTTATTTAACCTTCCTCCCCTAAGTTTTCAGACCATAAGAGACTCCCACTCTGGTTTTACTTGATAAGAATGGAGGGTCCTGGTTAGCAGAGACCTTCCAGGAACTTCCCAATCTTATAAAAAATGGTGGTGGTGGTGGTGATAGTGATAGTTCTTTACATGTGCCTGTTCCCTCAATCCTGAGCCCATTATCAATGTCTTTGGAATGATTCATTACAAACCAAGTCCTGGCCATTTGCATTCAGTAATGTCCAGATTTTCAGATAGGCTGAGTATTAGAATTTGCACTGAATTGGTGGGCTCAGCTCTGAAGTCAGGCCAAAGAGTCATATATACCTGTGAATAATAGCCAAACTGCAATGTGGACCATTACATTCTGTCTGGCTGATTCCCTTCGCTGATCTAGAAGTTATTCCTTTATTCCATTCCCCTGCAAGAGTTTGGCACAGAAATGCTGCTCCAGACTGTCCCGAGGGGGGCAGTTACATTTCAAGGAGAGAGGACATGAGCTGCAGAGGGTGAGTTATTCTTTGAGTTTTGGCTGGAGGAAAAATTCTGCATAAGGCATGAGTGATTATATTAATTTATACGGGTAGAGCCTTTACGAATTAAAATGTCAAGAGCTTTTGATACCAGAAATTCAGGGAGGGTAGTTACCATAGACACAAGTACACTTAATTTAATAATAATGACCAAGACATAAGCTAGTGTTCCTTATGTGTGTGAACTGAGTGTAGGATGTAAAAGAGTGTATAGTCATTCTATTTCACACCCAGAAGATTTTTTTTCCAACTTTACAGTCTTCAATCCCTAACATCATAGGCAAGGTATTTTTAATAGGTGCTATAGTAAAACAGAGCACAAATAAAAATAATAATAAAAAAATTATTTTTCACACGTCTTTGCTGGAAGAAACTATTTGGAAAAATGATGCCTGGTTTTTATTTGCTTTGGAGTATGGTGAGAGACGTTGCCTTGAACTAGGAGCTTGGAATAACTTTATAGCCCTCCACTATATTAAAAAATGGTAGGGAAGGATGCTGAGCAATACAAAACAGAGCTCCACAGAAGTCTGAGAAGTTACCGTATTTCATAGCACTGGAGGATTTGGACCTGTTTCTGGCATATTTAATCCAAGCACAGCAGTTTCATGGAGATGGAAACGATTTCCTAGGAAAACCTTGCACATTTCTTCTATATTGGAAATTCACTTGATATCTAGAATAAGTTGTACTTGAAATGAAAAACTAAACAAAGAGAAGCAGGGGTCTGCCTTTTTAGCACATGAAGACAGTATCCAGGCTCAGAGGGAGAGCATTTACAAAAGCTGTTCATTGTCTGAACCCAGTATCTACTAAATGCTGTCTTCTGCTGCACATAAAGGCAGTGAATAAGCCTCAGAGCTATTCCTTGTACAATGCTTATTTATTAAGTTGAGTACCATGCAAAACCTGAGGAGTCGTAACAGCTGTGAGTGCAACTGTGACTATGAGAAGAAAAGAACTCACCAGATACTGGCTGCAAGAAAGAAATAAAGAGCTCTTTTGAGCTGAAAAATAAGATGGCAGCAGGGTTGTTGCTACAAGCAGGATCTGTGACCTTTGCACAGGAGCACGTCGTGGCTCAGTATGCCAGGTATACAAAGCCCCTGCTCACCTCATCCAGGCAGTGGGAGCGGGACAGTTGGGCAAGGAGTGGGTGACACCATCGACAGCGCTGCCCAGCTCCTTGCCCTCTCTGCACTGGGGCAGGGAGCGATCCTTCTTGCTCAGAAACCTTGACAGCACGTACCAGCAGCAACACATCTCGGATGCGCAGACAAAATTGGGTTTCTTTAAATGCTTCATAACTGGGGCACAACAGGTGTATGCATAGGGCTGCTAACACAAACAGAAATTTACATTAAAATGTGAAAGAGACCTAAAAAATCCTCCACACAGGCTATTCTGGTAACCCAGCAGGTTACCTGAACAAGCTATTTTTTTTTTTTAATGCTGTTTTGCATTTCAGAGCCTGAAATTGTGTGAGGGCTGTATCATTGCCCATGAGAGGAGTGGTGGGGGTTTTCTTTTTTTTTTTTAAATTGTAGCATGAAGCTGAAGGATTACGTTGCTGGCCTTAGTATGTGTGGCAGGAGGCCCTGGAGGGTGTCTGTGAGGGTGAAGACTGAGGACTTTGCAGTGTGGTGGGACGCGGACCTGGCACGCTCGTCCACACAGCCTGTCAGGATGTGGTGGCTGGCACAGGCTGTCCCCCTGACCACAGCTGGGCTGTGTTTCAGAGCATGCTAATTTAGACAGCCTGAAAAACCACAAAACTACAGAGCATCCTTACAGCAACGTGCAGCTGGTCAGTGACCTGTGCTTGGGTCTGCTCCTTTGTCCTGTTCTTTACAGTGCACATGGATTCTAAGGGAACAGACCACTGAGATGTTGTGTGTTTGTTCTCCAAATGCTGTGCATTTGTTCCCCATCCCCAGTCCTTGTGCCACATTCTGTCAAAGATCTGCTTGACCAGAGCACATGAAAACCAGAGCAGGCACAATGAGGAGAATGTCTGTCTGCGTCTCGCCATGAAAAGGCATGTGGCTTGCTTATAAACAGGTCCGTGCTGTTCTGGACTTATGTTTATTTAACTGCTCAAGATGAATTCATGCATGCAACATCCTCATCCAAAATGTACCCCAGATCACTGCTCTCAGATGAACATTCGGCTGGAAAACCCCCAGAAATACAGAGCTTGCTCTCAGCTGCCAAACACAAAGGAAACAAAAGTTTATTCTTATAACTGTTAGCTACTCTTTATAGAAATTATGTCTTTTAACTGTTTAATAATATATTCATTAAAAATACAATATTGCAAAAGAGCACCGGACCCATGGAAGTCTTTATGAACTTAAAGACACGATTCTTCTCAGTTGCTTTAGCACCACTTACGCTAGGCGCCTCTGCTGAACGTTTTGTAGGGCATTTAATGGCTTCAAGATTGGTTAGAAAAATCAGAGAGAAGATGTTCTGGCTTCCAAAGGCATTGAGAGGCTGGAAAAAAGTGGAAATCTCTACCTCCTGTGGCAAATAAACCCTCAAGCAGAATGGCACAGGCCAGGGTAGGAACACAGCTGCACTGAACCACAGCCAAGACCCAGCACTATTTCACTCTTGGTGATTTGAGTTAAATGGGGACAGAAGTCTGACTTTCACTGAACTTTAATGTTATCAGTTAAATGTTGAGCTTCAATAGCCTAAGTCAGTTACAGAAAAGTCTTCTTTGGTAAAAACAGCTAAAAGTTATCAACTCACTCTAAGTGAAAACGCATCTCTTTTCCATTGCTTTCATCTGCTGTATTTTTTTGTGACTGGAAACAGCTCCAGCAGAGGTACAGCAGCTGAGAGAGCCAGACAGGCCAAAAAAAAATGATGATTAGATCACCTTGTTGGCTGCAAATGGCTGATCTGAATCAGTCAGAACAGAAATGTAAACTCTAGATGTTGCATGCACATAAAAAGTATGTACATAAACCTAGTACTATGCTCCAACCCTCCCACTGGAAAGTTAGTCAAGAAAAAGAAGACTGCAGCAAAGAGCAGGAAACATGCCTCAGAAAGGCTAAAAAAGGACCAAGCCTGAAGTTCTTGTTGGAGCAGCTAAGGAATTGAAACTTTAGCTTTCACTTTGCATGGAAGAAACCTAGCCACTGTACTGTCCTGGCTGCATTTTTTTCCCCCTGCTTGCACTAGGTTACTCAGAAACAGACATAAATAGGGAAAAAAATATCAAGACACTGTTCCTCATGATTACAGCGTACCTTAAGAAGCAGAGTGTAAAATCCAGCAAGCCCCGTGCTACAGGTTCCACACCTTCATTAGCCTCAGGAGCCTGGGCTCAGCCCAGTGCAGCAGGACTTGAGTTTGTCCCTCAGGTGAACGGTATCATCAGCACACCATTTTGAGGCACACTGAGCCTCTCCCTCTCAGATCAACCATGCTTTATACTGACAGGTTAAAACACTATTTCAGACTCAGAGAGCTGAAACTTGCTCTCCAACCATGGCAGTGTTTAGTCTGTGGTCAAAAGTCCATACCCAGCTTCAACTGCAGGCTTGCCGCTTTCCTGTATTATTTATTATACCTCTTAGCCATAAGAATTTAAAGTACATGAAGATGAGGCTTGCAGCTGAATCATCTTATTGTATATCCAGGCTGAGGCATAGAAAAAGAAAACACAAAGCCATCAGCTGTCTTGTGCCAGAGGCTTTTCTTCCAAGCTTGGACATTTCCCTGGAGGAGAGCACCAGCAGTGGTGCCTCTGCTCTGGGGAGGAGCTAGATTTCTAAACACCACACTGATTGGTAAATCCTCCCATCTTGAAAAGAAAGGAGTGATTTACTGTCCACAGCTGGTGAAAATTCCCAGGTACAGCATGCCACTAACGCACCCTTCAGATAGGGCCTCGTAATAGACAAAGACCTTAGCAGCCCTGGTGTAGTGGCAAGCTAGTTTTGTGGTGGCAAATATTCATTTCAGGTCCAAAACCTCCTCCTTCCAAAACAACCAAACGTGTCTAACGCAGTGTATAAGCAGTTGATCATGTTAAATTCTCACTATCAGCTTGTTTAATGGATTTGGTGCTGTGCTGCACTGCTGGTGCTAGCCCGCCCCAGCACTGGCCTGCACAAAATGGAGTCCTCCACACAGCGGCCTTCGGTGTCCTGGCTGGGCCGGGCAGGAATTGGGGCACCGGGGTGGTCAACAGAGCCTGCTGCAGTGGTCACCCAGCTTCCCTACACATTTAGAGATGTTCTGGGGAGAAACGTGATAGTTATAAACTTTGAAGTAGATTCATTAGGGTTTTAGTTTGGGTTATAGGGGCAGTGCTTGCTTGACACCTCTTGGCACATCAGTCCTTGAAAGAACCGAGCCTGTATCTCCTGGCTTTCCTCCACCCTGGCACTACACTGCCTCACTTCCAACCCATGTGGCACACCCAGAACCAAAGTGACCATTAACTGTGCTTTTTGTCAGAGCCCAGGACTGGAATTGGCCTACATTTACCTGACAGAAATGCGCAATTCGTATTTAAGCCATGGCACACCTACATTGCACCATATTCAATGACAGAAGTGTTTTTTTTTTTTTTTTTTTTTTTTTTTTTTTTTTTTTTTAACGTCCAGTACCAGAGGAGAGAAGGCAAGAGCCATCCCTCACAGACATGTCATACAACTTCTTACAGTCCTGCAGTGGAAGAATTCAGTTACCATCCTATGTGACCCATTCTCTTAACGTTATTGCCCATATATTCTAGTCAAGGCCGCAAGATACTTTGGGCAAGGATTTTAGCTTTTTGTTTCAAGAATTCACTACTAAGTAATTGGTATGAGTAATAAAAGTAGCATAAAATTGTAACTTCATGCAATGATAACCCACTAACCAGTATATATTTATAGAATGCCAAAACCAGGCAGAACTTTGAAAAAGCCAGGTGAATATGGAGGCCACAGTTTTAGTAATGGCAATGACTTTGTTAAAAGAAAATATAGAAATAATCCACATTTATGGGGTACCAATCAGTTCCTGATGGCAAAGGTTATTTGCAGCAGGAAAATGGAGAGAGGTATCAAAGGACAGAACACAATCAGGTTAAGATTAGCAAGCCAAACTGATCTTCGTGCCTCAGATAACTACATGACATTTTTTCAGTTTGTTCCTAGCCCATTCCTGGCAGTCAGCACTGACGGAAGACATATGGTCACAACAACACTGGTAATTTTATCTCCAATGCTCAGAATGAGCACACTGCTCCCTTCTTTCCAGTGCATCTGGAGGGAGGTCCTCCCACTGCTGACGTACATCACGGTGTGTATCTCCTCTCACCCTCTTTGGGGCATCTGCTGGGAAAGCTTCTCTGGGATAAACAATGTTGAAATGTCTCACACGCATCTCAGTTTAAGAGCCTCAGTTACTGCTGGCAGTTACTAGAGGCTTATTGAGCAACAGCAGCTTATGCCTTGCGGGAAGCAATGGCTTTGCCTCCCTAAGCTGCCTCCTCAGTGCACCTCGCAGTGCCAGGAGTTAAGTGATCAGGTAAGGACACGGGACTTGAAATGCAGGTTTATAGGGAGGAGGAAACAAGAGCTGTGCAGAGGCAGATGGAGTCCTCATTTGGGATCATATGGCACATGAGGCTTCTGCTTTGGGAAGCCAGAATCAGTAAAAGCATGAGGGCTGAACAATCCAGCCTGTGGAAACAGCAGGCCACTACATCTGTCCTACTAGGAAAAGCATTGAGAGAGCTACACTACACTATAAAATGCTTTAAAATTGCCCCTGTAATTACTAGTGAGCTCCAGTTTATCTGTGGGTGTGGATAGCAGGAAAACCAAACCCTGCCTATTCTTCATTTAATATTTGCAATAATGCAATAAATGCTTACATATAATAATGACAGGCTTCCCAGGTTATGATCTGCCTTTTCCAAGTCCTCCCCTCCCATCTCTCTGGCAAACAACAAGAGATGCTTACCTCTATTTGACCATTATAGTGGTAAATGCAACACCTTTGAAACAACTGCACAAACTAACTTTGAAAATAATGCCTATTTATAGTTTAGCAAAATAGTTTTGCAAATGTGCTGCTTTCATGTTGAAACGTCATGCTTGCTAACCCCCAAAGCTACAGCCCATCCAGATATGATGATCATTTCAATTTTTTAATGTTGAAAATCATTTACACTGTCAGAGAATGAAGTGGACTGGTATACTGTCAGGTGCAGAATGAGAGGTTTACACTCAATTATTTAATCCCATGGCACTTTGCATTTCTAGTAGGTGAATCACTTTTAAAAAGTTGAATGTCTTCCCTGCAAGATTCTGGCAAACCCTGAAAAGTTCATTTCATTAGGAAATGACTGCTCTCTCATTTGTCTGCTTCCTGGGAGTGACACGCAGGTGGCTGCCAAGGGATTTTCTTGGCTCACAGAGTGAGGCTAATGCATACATTCAGCTGCTGAGATTTTGCAGTGCCAGTCAGAACTGATGCTGTCCTAACTGTGCACAGCCAATTCAATGGGTTCTTTACATCAGCACCTCAAGGCAAAAACCAGGGCATTAAACCATTGTAAGATGAGACAAAGCATTAAGTGCAATTATCTTTCATCTATGGAGATTGGGAATCATTCTTAGTCAGATCTCATCTAAGACCCCAGTAATACAATTTGGCGTGACTGATGCAGTTTGCCGTGACTGATGATCCCTGGGAGAGAGGCACAGACCTGACAGCATCTAATTCCTCTCATTTGTCAATATCAAGCTCCAACAATTTAAAGACTGAAGTCTTCTACAGGCCTGCAGCAATGGACACCTGGATTGCCACAGTGCAATTTCAGAAAATGGTGACGTCTTGTCTGAAAATTGCTTCCTTTGTGGTTGTAAGATCATCCCCCACTCTTTCCCCACCTCCCCAGATATGCTTATGACTTGTCATAATGTATCCAGCACCACAAAGCATTTTTAAAGGAAAGAGATTATTTTATCCGGAAAATACCCTCAGGTTATGCTCTTATTTTACACTAAAAACTTTTTTTTTTTTTTAATTTCTCTACTTTTCCATCAAATTCTATGTCTTGTTTAGCTGGGGTCAGTGTACAAGTGTGGGTCCTTGCCTTTACACCCTGGTCCTCAGTTTTAGGCACTGAGAAGGAACTAGCAAAACAGCTTTGCTGTTGGGATGGGGAGCTTGGACCATAAGCATCTCCTCACACAAGTATGTGGGTGTTTGTGTGTCTTTCCGTCAGGATGGTTCTGTCTCATCCCCTGTAGGACAAGATTCAGTTCACTGCACCTATCTACTTAATCCAGCAATTTCCTAGCTC